TATGAAAACAATTCTTGGATTATAAAGAAATAAAGTAGGTTCTCATTGTGTGCATGTGTAAGAAAAACCCAAATATTAAGACTCGTACAGTAAATGATAGCAACAAACACTGTGCTAATCTAAAATATCTATTCATTTGACATTTATTTTTAACATTTGGTTTTGAAGGTATGGAGCCCCATACATGACACGTGGGGAAAAAATGTATGTATATCGTGGCCACAATTTAACAATAAGTTCTCACAACTTACTAATACTTCAGCATGTTTTACTAATTTTTCCTCATTGTCAACGCATTCTCACCCCAAGGCGTCAACTTTGACCATGCTTCAATATTTGACGTTTTAGGCGCCCTTTAGCGTCACTTACATGACGCAATCCTACGGCGTCATCTAACTGACTCTAAAGGAAAGCGTCAGTTAGAGGACGCGGTTAGGTTTAGGTCTGGGGTGGGGGTAGGGTACACGCGATCCTAGGGCGTCATCTTACTGACGCTAAAGGGCGCCTAAAGCGTCAGATATTGAAGCATGGTCAAATGCTTCCCAAGGCGTCAGTTAAGTGACGCCTTGGGGGTGAGAATGGGCTGTCATTGTAAGTAAATCGTGCACACAATATAATTCTTGGTCCCCTCATTTTACTAAATCATGGCCATGTTGTAAAAATTTGTTGCCTTAGTTAAATCAAACTGTGGGAACAAATTAGTTCAACATGGCTATAAATGACTAAAACGAGGGAACTAATTAAGTCGTAGGATTAAGTTTTTAATGTTATTAATTAATTAATGTTTTTTTGAGTGAACCATTTCCTTTAAAGCAAATAAAAGTGCATGTAAATATGTTTTTTAGCTATCATTCACATTTAGGTGAGGAGCTTATTATGAAGAATCCTACTGCTATTGGCCGAAGGCAGTTTTGCCTGCTGTTATCATACTTGTAGAAGCTTCTCAGCAGGATTTTTGAAGGGCCTTTAAGCTATGTACATTTCTCATTAATACTTCCAGATGAAGCAGAAAGGTAAGCACCATTAAATTATCAACAGAATCTATTTATGACAATGATTTCTATATTTAAAATAAAACCAAATATTTTCTTTCTTTCTTTCTTTTTCAATTTGCTTGTGTTTACATGTGTTTCTTTCCGATCATTTCTATTATGTGTTTTTATTATTATGTTTTTATCTATGGGATTGAAGCGAATTGATTAGTGCTGCATGACATTGAAAGGTCCTATGTAAATTCAGCTCATAGTTACAAGGCAAGGATACCAGCAAAGGCATTTTATCGCTGATGCAGGCTATGGATTGGTTGTGACTAGAGAGACATGTTTTTTTTTCTGTTTTCAATGCAGACATTATTTCACAATTTTAGCAATGTGTTACATTTATAAAACATGAGGCACAGATTTTTTTTGTTCATGAAATCATACAATTTTAATATAGACCGGGTTAGTAGTCACACGGATATCACTGCATAAATGCTTTTCTCCAGCAGGCATTATCTTTGTTGGCTTCAAATGTATTCTAAGTTAATCTAATAAAATTGATAGTTATAATAATAATAATATCTAAATGTATTATTATCAAATCCCTGCCAACACTGTATTAAATGAACTGTATATTTTAGCATTATTGAAAGTTTAAATGTTTAGCTTGTAGACGTCATATCAGGGTGCATTGTGTAATATCACTAGATTTGCCGAAGAAAGAAGACATTTACGCTGACGTTATTTCAGATTATTCTTATTTGTTTTAAAAAAGTAACTTACATGGTGGTTATTGCAGCAAACAGTAGGCTAAATGACACATACTGTAGGTTACAAAATCATCAATCCTCAAGGTTTCACATCTGGAATGCCTGCCCAGCTCATTAAGCATTACAATATACCATAAAAAGCACTGAGCTTTTCTAGTGCAGTGATATTCACACATTTCCAAAATTTAAACAAAAATACCTCTGTTAACTCACGTTTGACTCAAATTAAATTGGCTATACTAGATCTGCCTGCAGGTATGCATGTTATGCCGTAGTGTTCTGTTTGTGTGTCAACATTTTCCTTCACATAAACTTTAAAGAACAGAGAGACTCGAGAGAATGTTACGAATGTAAGTGTGAAACTACAGTCACATGCATGGAATAGCAATCACAGACTCAAGTACACGTGAGCTGTATTTCTAACGTCTCTTATGGCATGAAAGCACAAGGTAACATCAGGATGCAGGCTTCATATTTCAACCAGCTAAATGGCGAAGGAAGCGAAGGAAGGTCAGTCAATTGCTCAAAAGCAACATATAGCTCATGGGGGAAAAAAAAGAGGAATTTGGGTAACACTTTAGAATATGGTTCCTTCGTTAATGAATAACTACACAAGATCCTACGAGTAACACAATATTAACTATCTAGTAAATAGTATTAACTAACTAGATACTCTGATTAACGAACTAAGTAATAGTGCACAGATGAAAGTGGTACTTCACTATTAACTGATCAATAACTATTATTTTTTAATGCTTCCCAGTGAAAAAGTTTATTAACAATCATAACTACTATTAACTAAAAAGAAACACTGATTAACGAATTAGTAAGTAATAGCGCACAGATGAAAGTGGTAATTCATACTTCAATGGGAATTACTAATTATTTGGATCTGTATTCTAAAGTGAAGATCATTGGAACTAACTAGTAATGACTCAAGTGTTACTACATGATCTAGTCATGACAGTCATATTTCGGTGGCTGGTAACTAGATCCAGTACTCACCATGACTAGTGATTCAATGCCAGTCCAGAGGAATGCTGGACAATTGGCCACAGGACAAGTAAGGTCCCGACAATTGCATTTAAAAATCCATTTCTTTAAAATTATTCAGTTGATAAATAGACAGCATAGGCCAATTTAACAGCTTTCCTAAATCATAAGTCTGCTATGCTATTACATTTTGATAATGTAAACAACCTTGTGTATTTGTTTACAGTAGCAGTTAAAATGTAAATGTAGTGCTAGTCATTTGTTCTGCATTGGTTATTGATTAGTTTTGCATGAATTATGAAACTTTTTCAGTAGTTCTCCAGGAAGCTCCAGGAATTAAAAAATAGTAGTTATTGAACAGTTAATAGTGAAATATTACTTTAATCTGTGCGCTATTACTTACTAGTGCGTTAATCAGGGTTTTTTTTTTTTTAGTTAATAGTTACTTGTTAATATTGTGTTACTTATTGATTCTTAGTTATTCATTAACAAAGGAACCGAATTCTAAAGTATTACCGGAATTTGTAGGTATCAAATGCTGTTATGAAAGCTGCCAACAGATAATAAGTTTTAATCATAGGATCATATCCACAAGATTGAAACAGTTATGCTGCCTTCTAAGATATCTTGTTTTGTCTAAGAAGAAGAATGAATTACCATGACCTCAGTGAAAAAATCATTTCAAAGTGCCGGACCAGTCGATAAAAAGATTATAAATGTTTCATTTAATACCTAAATCACAGCTCTATAGAGTATTGTGTTGTTAACCTGTTAACGTTTTGGAACAAAGCTGTAACTAAGCTCTAAATTTGTGCTAGGAGCATTTTGTGTGATGAACAAGTTAATAATTTTGCATATTGTTGGGCATGTGCAGTTTATTTTAATATTATGCTAATTCCTTGTTTGATTTTAATGCTATTTAAATAATAATAATTGTTGTAAATGTTACATCCTGAAATAAAATCTTTGATAATTTAGATCCATCTCTTATTATATTTTATTTCAGTTAGAATGTTGCCTTTAGATGAGGTCACATTAGCGAAATTCCAGCATAATTTCACGGTAAAAAGGTCCATTGTAAATAGTCTAGCAATACATGAACAATGATTGACCTTTTTAAACCAAGCATCTTTCTGTTGGTCAGCATGACAAATTCGCTTGACCTTGCAAGCAAAATCTGGAACATGGAACTGTTTTCACCCTTGTTGAAACAGATCCCTATTGAAATGACTGAATACAGAATACATTTACAAAAACAGTAAATGTGACCGCACCTTTGGAAGGTACTAGTTGCCAAGGCAGGCAGGTCTCTAGATTTTGGAACTGAGCTTGTTTGTTTTGGCATGTCATGTAAGAAACTGTACTTATCCACATCATCAACAGAATCCAGAATCCAATGCATTTATAATGTATGCATTAATATGTATAACAAAGGAAGACACTTAATGAGAAAATGAAGCCAGTCCGCCGATTGTGCCTGTGTAAAGGGGGGAGGGGATAGTTACTGTTCAATAGACTTGAAAATTATATGGGAATTCTCCCTCGGAACAATGAGAACTACAGATAGTGGGAGGATGAGATCCACTGAGCAAGTGAGTGTGTGTTTCTTTGATGAGGTGCTTTAAAAAAGTCATTATTTAGCTCATTTATAATATCTGAGTTGTGTCATAAATGATACAATGATATTTATGGATGATCTCTGTGCGTGTAGGCAGTTTTTATTGTATTGGCCTGTCTCAATCTCACAGAGGAAGCACAATTAATAGTGACAGGTAGGAGAAATATAAATGGGTTTTGAAATTGCTGTGAAATTATAATTTAAAAGCCAGCTTGCCTGACACCCAGAAATGTCTTTCCACTATAGCTGTAGTGTTACAAATGACATTGGAGTCTGAATGTAATTGTTATGTTTTAATTTCAAAGATTTTTATTAAATAAATACATTTTTTTTATTAAAATGTGTGTATTTTTAGCGCCACTAGTGGCACCAAATGGAATTGTAATCTGTTTATTTGATCAGGCTGACTTGTTTGAAACTTGTTTAAAATGTAATATACAATTGTTAAACATTTCAAAAGAACATTTGGGGCGTCGTCTATTAAAAACAAGCATTTCTTAAACACAACCAGAGCAAATTTCTGCGCAAATCTTTCATTCTGTCATTATGTAAAAAGGCACAGTGGTCACAATGTTTTGTTTATTTGTTTCCTCATTGAGGCGGATTGTGTGCATATATAATGTTTGTGTTTAATCTCACCCAGTATAGCCAGCACAGTGTTGTCCTTAAGCACTTCCATGGAGCCCGAGCACACAAAGTATATGGCTTGCAGAGCATCCCCCTGGCGAATAAGGAATTCCCCAGGAGCACAGAAAGAAGTTTTGATGATGAGCGACAGAGAGCGCAGACACCCTCGACTGGCTGATTCAAACAGAGGCAGCTGCAGCAGCTCTTTATTCAGGTGCATGGCAATGTCAGCCCGCAGTTCATCTGGGAAGTCCTTCAGAAGCTGGGAAAGGACAAAGATATTTTAAGTACACTTCTCATTCTTAAAAAGCATTTTTTTTTTTTTAAATTTACGTTTGATTATCAAAAACACAACAGCAGAAAAGAAACTGTAGATCAGTCTTCTACTTGGACTTTGGATATTACATTGGATATCAAAGCAGAGAGAGTGGGTTATGAGTTATGTAACGAGTGTTTTGAATTGGACTCATTAAATCCATTGTGAGTGTAAGATGGAATCTCTTGTTTATGAGCACGGCAGATATGGATGAGATGGTGAACGAGAGGCGGGTGGAAAGAGAAAGTAAAGCAAATGACAAAAGAGATGAGAGATTGTGAAACAGTATGAGAGATAGTAAGAGAGCATGGTGAAGTGAAAAAGGAATAGAAAAGGATAATACACTCTAGTCTAATCTTAGACAGATGCATCAAATCACATCATTAATATCAAGAAGCCCAAATCTGCAATGCGAATTGGAACCAACTGTTGCATAGTGAAGCTAAAAATTCCATAAAATATAATAAAATGAGCATGATATTTAATTCCAAGTGTTTATTAGTCTTCCTATATTTTGCTACAGGTCAATGGAAGATCCAGCATTTCCTATTATTAACATTCACATATGCTGTGTCCGAAATCTCCACTCAAAACATTACTCCCTACCCCCTATTTTAGGGGGTAGGGGGTAGAGCACTATTTAGTGAGCTCACCAGCAAAATAGAAACACCACTTTCGGACACTACTCGATAATCTCTCAGCGCCGTTGATTACATCATCTGTCAGCAGGTGCCGAGCTGGCTCTGGGCTAAATAGATTTTATTTTTATTTTTTTAAATAAAAACATTACATTATTTGAGCTTTTCTCTAAAATGTAAAAGCTAAAAGTCATTTCTGGCCGTTACTGTTATAATGCGCTACTCCACACATGATTATAACTTATTTTTGCGATCAGCGCAATGCATGATGGTATGTAGGGCTTGGGTTAGTGACCATCGGTTGTACACTACTTTTCAAAATGCATTCTGGGATACATTAAGTGGACTATAGGGTATAATAATCATCACTATACATTCGGACAGCACTACAAAATGGCGATCTCACTATATAGACCATTTCACAAGATGTAAACAACACTGGTCCAGAAGCACTTCCTGTTTCAGTTTTTTTAACACTACATAAAAGCTGGGATAAAATACAACCAACAGAACATTCAAAACTGAATCAAAAAGTTAAACAAACATCTTTAAGATGTTTTCTTTACATGTGAAATAAAGAAAACAGTTACAAACTGAAACAGGAAGTGTTTCTGGACCAGTGTTGTTTACATCTTGTGAAAATAGTCTTAAAGAAATGATGAATGCAAAATGCATTCTCTGTAAATGTTATAACATTTTCTGCTGGAAGTCATGGAATATTGAATATAATTGTGCTTATTGCCTTGAAATGTATATGTATAGAAGAGGAGAAACTTCAGAAGAGGCACCTACCACAAATATAATAAATTTCAAGGGCATCATTACTTACAAATCCTATTTAATATTTATTAATTTTATTTACATTTAATTTTGATGTTTATCTAATGTTTATTGCTAGAAAATTGCACACAAATTTAATAAAACATGTCAAAATTTTGCAACAGAACAACGGCAAACCCACGGCAACAACTTTTTTTTTGAGAATTTCTAAATGTTAAACAACTCTTTCACTAACTGTTATCTGGGGAAAAAAAGTATCCCTAATCACTTTATTTGACGGGGTGTGCATAAGACTGTATTGACACTTATAATAAACAATAAACATGACATAACAACTGTTATGAACATGAAGGAGTCTTTATGAATGTTTATGACTGCTGTCATTAAGTGTCATTCGGTAAATTATGACACTTCGGTAAGTTGCAAATTTGACATTGTTTAAAATGTCTTGATTATGACAACTTGACATTAACAAAGTCAGAAATGTCTTTGTTATGACAACTTGACATTGACCAGGAAATCACAACTAGTCCAACGTGTTCCACTTTACTTGAGGTAAGGGGAAATATTAATGACACTGTTGTTAAAGTATTTGACAGTGTAATAACCCTTAATGACATCTTTATAACTAGTACAATGTTTTCCACTTTACTTGAGGACAAGTAAAATATTCATGTCACAGTTAAAATGGTGTCATGACAACCAAAGTTAAAACCAACCAACCAACCAACATATGACAGGGTAATGTAATGTTAACACGAAGCTAAATAACTTATTTAAGTTTGATAATTAGACCTGTTATGACATATTTGTGACAGGTTGACAGGTAATGATTTCTTGGTTAATGTCAAGTTGTCATAATCAAGACATTTTTGTCTTTTTTAATGTCACGTTGTCATAAAAAAAGACATTAAAAGTGTCATAATTTACCGAATTACACTTAATGACAAGTCATAATCATTCATAAATAGTCCTTCATGTTCATGACAGGTGTTATGTCATGATGTCAGTCTTATGCACACCCCTTCAAATAAAGTGTTACCTCGTACTCGAAAACACAAGTGTTCAATAAGTTTGTAGATAAGAACAGCTCTCATACAGCTACATCTTAACACCCACATGACAACACACACTCACAGTGTAATTATTTAGGAAAATTGTTTTGACAATGTATTCACGTGTGTGCACAGATTATTGAAAGTCCTACCTCGCTGACATCGATGCCGTTGTTGACAGACCACGTCGTTTGAAAGCACTCCAGCATGCGCTGCGCGAGAGCCTTGGGCAGCCGATGCACACGGATGAAGTCTTTGAGGTCTTTGGTTCGAGTGTGATAGAGCGAGCGCCGTGAGTACATCCGCTGGATAATGGCCGTCACGTTACCGAAGACCGCGGCATGCATGAGTGCTGGTAGGAGACAAACAACAAACAAACATTTCAAGTGATTATTTAATGAGTTTTATCCATGACATTTAGTGTGTCCAAAATTGTCTTCTGAGTAGCAATAACACAGTCTCATCCCAAGACGTCATACAACTGATGCTTTTGACCTTACGTCAACATCCGCCGTTTTAGGGTACCCTTTAACGTCAGTTAGATGTCGATCCTGGGGCGTCATCCAACAGACGCTTTACTTTTAACGTCAGTTAGGTGATGGGGTAGGTTTAGGTCTGGTGAAGGGTTAGGATTAGATAACGTCATCTAACTGACGTTTAAGGGTACCCTAAAACGGCAGATGTTGACATATGGTCAAAAGCGTCAGTTGTATGTCTTGGGATAAGACTGCGCTAGTAGTACACATTTGAATTTGTACTTAGAGGCCGTTAAAAATGTATGTTCTATATAGAATGAATGTGTATAGTATGATTGTAATCTGGACGTACTACATCCACCATGTTGTCACTTCATAAAGAAACATTATGCAATACTGAACACGTAAAGTATGCACATGAGGCCTCCAAATCAGCATTGTCATGTAAATTAATGGCCAAAAATGTTAATAGTTCATCTGGGACTGTCATAAACACTGTCATATAAATTACCCCAGAGGCAGATTGTCATTTACACGTGGTGTTTATTACACCTAGCTAACAAAATTGAAATCCATTATACGTTGCAATGTCATTCACCTGTTGTGCAACAGAATGCAGAATACATGGTTTATGCCACAAATGCAATCTCCAATCTTTGTGATCTCCACATGTGACTGGATTCACCCGATCTAACCAGAGATGGATTTTAATCTGGCATTTTGGCATTTCATTTAGTCATATAGTGAGAAAGATTTAGCATCTTACTCCTGCTTGTTTTCTTTCTATTGTTTACCTAGTTGACATTGACAGCATGCTGGTTTGCAGCTCAATCCGTTTTGTTCATCTTTTCAGTGTTTTTCTTTTCCTTTGGATATATTCTGTTCAGCGTAATTCTGTCGACCAAACTCTGTATCATCTATTTATTTAACATTGTGAACTTTGTCAACATGAGTGTAAATACAGTAAGTGTAAATAGACTGGAGAGTGTCTACATGAAGTGTCTGGAGAGTGTCTTCCATTGTTGCGGAAATTGCACGCTGCTCTTCTGTTTGAGAACTGCACTCAGAGTAAGTGGCTGCACCTGGTTATGTGCCTTTCGAGTGCTTGGATGAGGTTTGTGCTGAAATCCATGAAAATCTTCAAATAGGGCTACAAAATGAATACGAGTAATTAAAATCCTGGTTCACTCACCTGATTCCTGTGGCAAGGACAAATGAGTTCTCTTGCTGAATTGTTTCTTCAATTCAGCAGTGATATATGATTATATGAAGACTTGTTCTTTTATTCTTGAATTTCTGTTTATTCTTGAGTCCCAAACTGTGCAGCCAGTAATGAAATCAAACATACTTAAACAAGTGGTATCACATCAATTTTATCACGCTATACTCTTACTTACTTATTTCTATTTTTATTTCTCTGAATGAATTTTGGAAGAAAATTTTTAAAGGGAAATTTCACTTTAAAAATAATAATTTTATCATCATTTACGCTCATATTGTTCCAAACCTGGGGTGCATTTCCCAAAAGCATCGTTTGCCAACTATGGTCGCAAGTTCCGTCGTTATCAGCATAGTTCAACGAGTCGGTGTTTCACAAAACCATCATTCCAACGAACATTCGCAAACAGCATCGCAAAGTTGTGTGGTTTGAACGACAGCTCTCAACCTGTGGTCAGAGGCATCGTTTCTATATTGCATGACATTTGGAGGTAATAAATCCTTATCTTGAGCAAAATAAGCAAGCTGACATTCAGTACAACCGGTGTCTTTTACAACCCGAATTCCAGAAAAGTTGGGACGTTTTTTAAATTTGAATAAAATTAAAACTATACGACTTTCAAATCACATGAGCCAATATTTTATTCACAATAGAACATAGATAACATAACAAATGTTTAAACGGAGAAATTGTACACTTTTATCCACTAAATGAGCTCATTTCAAATTTGATGCCTGCTACATGTCTCAAAATAGTTGGGACGGGGACACGTTTACCATGGTGCAACATCTCCTCTTCTTTTCAAAACAGTATGAAGACGTCTGGGCATCGAGTTTATGAGTGTCTGGAGTTTTGGTGTTGGAATTTGGTCCCATTCTTGCCTTATATAGGTTTCCAGCTGCTGAAGTGTTCGTGGTCGCCTTTGACGCATTTTTCGTTTAATGATGCGCCAAATGTTCTCTATAGGTGAAAGATCTGGACTGCAGGCAAGGCCAATTCAGAACCCGGACTCTTCTACGACGAAGCCATGCTGTTGTAATATCTGCAGTATGTGGTTTTGCATTGTCCTGCTGAAATACACAAGGCCTTCCCTGAAATAGACGTTGTCTGGAGGGGAGCATATGTTGCTCTAAAACCTTTATATAGCTTTCAGCATTCATAGTGCCTCCCAAAACATGCAAGCTGCCCATACCGTATGCACTTATGCACCCCCATACCATCAGAGATGCTGGCTTTTGAACTGAACGCTGATAACACGATGGAAGGTCTCCCTCTTCTTTTGTCCGGAGGACACGGCGTCCGTGATTTCCAACAAAAATGTCAAATTTGGACTCGTTTGACCATAGAATACTTTTCCACTTTGAAATAGTCCATTTTAAATGAGCCTTGGCCCACAGGACACGACGGCGCTTCTGGACCATGTTCACATATGGCTTCCTTTTTGCATGATAGAGCTTTAGTTGGCATCTGGAGATGGCACGGCGGATTGTGTTTACCGACAGTGGTTTCTGGAAGTATTCCTGGGCCTATTTAGTAATATCATTCACACAATCATGCCGATGAGTGATGCAGTGTAGTCTGAGGGCCCGAAGACCACGGGCATCCAATAAAGGTCTTCGCCTTTGTCCCTTACGCACAGAGATTTCTCCAGTTTCTCTGAATCTTTTGATGATGTTGTGCACTGTAGATGATGAGATTTGCAAAGCCTTTGCAATTTGATGTTGAGGAACACTGTTTTTAAAGTGTTCCACAATCTTTTTATGCACTCTTTCACAGATTGGAGAGCCTCTGCCCATCTTTACTTCTGAGAGACTCTACCTCTCTAAGACATCCCTTTAATCATGTTACAGACCTGATATCAACTTAATTAGTTGCTATAGATGTTCTCCCACCTGAATCCTTTCTAAATTTCTTGCTTTTTCAACCATTTGTTGTCCCCGTCCCAACTATTTTGAGACCTGTAGCAGGCATCAAATTTGAAATGAGCTCATTTAGTGGACTAAAGTGTAAAATTTCTCCATTTAAACATTTGTTATATTATATATGTTCTATTGTGAATAAAATATTTGCTCATGTGATTTGAAAGTCGTATAGTTTTCATTTTATTCAAATTTAAAAAACGTCCCAACTTTTCTGGAATTCGGGTTGTATTTAGAATACATACAAATGAAATTTACGTCTTTTAGTTTGTCAAAAGATTGGAAGTAACGCGTTTGAAGAGTGCGCATATGTGAACGTGCTCTATTATGTAAGAACAAGCCAAATATTGAGTCTGGTAATAAAGCGAAACAACTGAGAACAATTAGAAATAGTCCTCAGATGACATGTCTGTAATTTACATAAAACAAATCTAGCGTTAATTGCATCTCAAACAGTTTCATTAAAAGTATTATTACTCCACCACGTGCGAAACCAACGGGGTTGAACGATACTTTGTGACAGTGGGTTTCAGGAAACAGTCGTGACTAGCTAGTTGATTTTTCCAACGATGCATCGTACTATGGTAGTGAATCAGCAAACTACGTCGTTGTATGGGAAACGCACCCCTGTATGACTTTCCATCTTCTACGGAACATTAAAAATATATATTTGCATAACTGTTTTCTTTCTCCATTCAATGAAAGTCAGTTGGTTTCATCTTTTGTCCATATTGAATTTCATTGTATGGACCAATAAAACATTAAATATTTTTTTTTTAAATATTCATCTTTTGATCGTTGCATGTTTTACATCTTCAAGGTTTAGAACAACAAGTCTGTTCTTGTTGTCTGTTCTGCCCTATTACGATATCAGAGTTAATATAAAACATTAAAAATAAATACTGCAATAGCAGCAATTATCGCGGCCATGCGCAAAGAACAATAAGACATGCCAACATGGCTGGGAGCTTCAGACCAACTGCAAAAATGAGAACAATCAATTGGTCAACGGTGTTGCAGATTTTGGCAAACATTTTTTAAGTGCTAAATCGCAACGTTACATAAACCGTAAGGCGAAACCTAGCATGTTTGATATTGTTGGACTCGTCAAGGATTCAGGAACATATGGAGATTACCCCTTGTGAAAATAAGTCAATCACACCCAGAGTTATAAGCATTTGAAAAAAAATATTTTACCACTAGGTAGCGCTGGTTTGAAACTTCTAAGGCTCCTTCAGGGCATCGTACTGATGAACCATACCGAGTTTCATAACGATACAATCATGCGTTCATAAAATACAGCATTTTGGTACAAAATTCAAAATGGCCAATATTGGTTTAAAATGATATGGTCAGTCGACTCGGCACGACGCCCTGAATCTAACGAGACCACTTTCATGATTGTTGGACAAACCATTCAAAAGTTATAAGCAAAAATAGGCATTTTTCGTATCTCTGGACCAGTAGGTGGAGCTGCGCCTAAACACTGCATGTTGCCTCAGGTCTTGTTTGTGATTAGATGTACCAAATTTGGTCTGAATATAACAAAGCGTTGCGTAGATACAGCCTTACGTCTGTTTTAGTAAGCACTATGTAAAATTAGTTTGCACAGTATTCAAAAACGGTTTGATGAATCGACACAAATTTCACAACTTTTTGTCGGCACGTCTGGTCTGGCTTAATTTTAGGGAAAGTCGGAGTAACGGCATAGGAGGAGTTCGAAAAATTATATTTTCCGGAGATTTCAAAATGTACAAATTGTCATGATGCTTCAAAAGTTCGTAGCATAAACGAGTGCAACTTTGGACAGTTGGTGGTGCTGCAAGGATTGAGTTAGAGACTCCAAATTTGCTATGGTGACAGTTCAGACTGTCCTCTATCAGTGTGCCAAATTACTATCCCACAAGCGGTTATGTGGGCTGCCATAGACTTCCACAGCGGAAGAAGAAGAATAATAACACCAACAATTTCAAAAGGTGCTTGGCCCCTAAAAACAAGAATTATCTTTTGATTCCATGTTGATTTTAAGTCTAAGGCAAGAACCAAGCTAATCCTAGCAAGCTTAAGCTATGAAAGTGTATAATCTGAGAAATATTTCCTCAGGGTTGAGTGGTGGACATCATATTGTTGTGTGGTCAATAATGATCAGTCATTTGACCTAATTATGGTAATTTTTAGTCCAAGACATATCAGTGTTCCCCAAATACCCCCTGTGTGTATGGTTAGAAGCCCAGCTGTCAGCTGGCTGTGACAGTAATGGCCCTTAGTGTTAGAATTGGTGACAGATTTATTCAGTGTGCATGTATGTGAGTGTGCATGGATTCAACCAGCCTTATTTGCCCCTCTTAAGTGCAATGAAGCCTGAGTCTCTCTCTTCATGGCCCAGAGGACATGCCTTAAAATTCAGTCCACTGTCACAACATCTCCCTCCAATCCACATGGGGCACATGCAGCCACAAAAATCATTACAGCTGTCCCAGCAGATAACAAGTAGCATTTCTGTGGCATTCAAATCCAAGCGGTCAAGTTAGCATAAAAAAGCTAAGAGTACCCGACGTAAGCACAAGCAGCCTTTTACTAAGAGTACACACATATATGCTAACATTAAAGTCCCCGTGAAATCAAAATTGAACCTATTTACTTTGTTAGCGCATATTACTAGTCTTGTGGTGAACAATTAATCCGTGCAAGTGAATATATATTAAAAAAATGTTTTACCTTAGTAATCTTTAATCAAAATCTGAAAAGTTACTTCCGGTCTGGAACGGTTTCTTTTTCTGATGACGTAGGTTTCACAGTTTGGGTGGGGAAACGCTTAACCACTCCCCTCAAACCGTTAGTTTGCTATGAGCGAGAGATGGAGAGGAGGAGCGCTAGAGTAAAACCCTGCCCTCTGTTCAATATTCCGTTTCACTTGGAAATACGTCACAGCACTGGAGAAAAATCGTTTGCAACTTCCGGTTCACGGGGACTTTAAGTTTTAAACCATACAAACAAATACAGCCTGAATCAAATCCCTTGTTTTGCAAAGAAACAATCAATGCAACATGTCATGAGACATACTGAATGTATGTCATATTGGCATAAATAGGTAATTGCAGTAATATTATATACATATGCACTGAACAATCATGTTTCTAAAGTTTTTGTGGTAGTGGTCAGTGGTCAATGGTCATTGCTGTTACTGATTATATGTAATCTGGATTACATAATCAGATTCCAAAAATTAAATACTTGTTATTAGTTTTATTGATCACATATATTACTTAGTATGCAGAACATTCTGGAAAATTCATTAGAATTAATTGATTTCCCCTAATTATTCTTCTTTTTTTTTTGTTATTGCACACACAAAATAAAAGTAGATTTACCTCCGGCAGATAGTAGTTTTTAGTAGTAAAAAATTCCTGAAAATTGTTTTGAACAAAATATATATATATATATATATATATATATATATATATATATATATATATATATATATATATATATATATATTAAGCAACAAGAAATTGTAGAAATAAGCACCAAAACACTATATTAGAATGATTTCTGAAAGATAAGGTGACACTGAAGAATGGAGCAATGACTCCTAAAAATATGAATAAAAATACTCCTAAAAATATAATCAAAAGATTAAATTATCAATATTTGGAAAGGGTTATTGGCACATCTTTGTAGTGAAACATTATAATTTATACTGTAAATCCAAACCTCACAATCATTTAAAAACGTGTGTCTGTGTTCTCTTGCAATTACCTCCAATCAGCATGGTGCAGATAGAGAAGATCTTCTCTGAGTCAGTATTGGCTGAGACATTGCCAAAACCCACGCTGGTCAGACTGCTTAAAGCGAAGTACAGGGACGTCACATATGAACTCCGAATCGAGGGCCCGCCTCCCAATACAGCTGCAGTCTGTCCGGCATTTGAAGTGCCCACCGGACCTTCTCCTGTTGTGTTCCATTGGCTCGAGTTCCACACAGACTCATGTCCCACCAAATCAGTGCCGCTTCCCTGGCTTGAATTGACCACCAATCCATCCAAGATAGTGGAGCGCAGTGAATCAGGAATGAGGGACGCAAGAGGAGACAGGAAGTAGGGGGTGCCCAGACGTTTACCCAGCTCATGCAACCAGCCTATAATAAAGAGAAAGAGAAAATGTAAGACGACATTTTTACGTTTACTATTTTGCAGACTCAATTGTTTTGGCCAGTGAAATGATCTATAATCATATAATATTATCTATAATATTGTAGTTTTGGTGATGGTTTTATAATCTAATTTATTTTTATTTATTTTTTTCATTTGTGTTCGGCACTAACTACCCAAAATGTAATTGGTTTGGCACCCCTGTAAGTTTTTCAGTGGGTATATGGCCACTCTCAGAACTGAGCAGATTTAGAGCAATTGTCGCTGTCCATGGTGCTGAACCTGAAGCATTTTGGACATCAGTTGGTTAGCAGTAGGCTGAAACTTCTTTTGAAGTCTGTCTGTCTGTCTCTCTCTCTCTCTCTCTCTCCCTCTCTCTCTCTCTCTCTCTCTCTCTCTCTCTCTCTCTCTCTCTCTCTCTCTCTCTCTCTCTCCCAAGGGAGATGGAGAGAAGTGTGAAAAGTCAGAAAAGGAAAGAAGATTGAAAGGACACACAGTTATTTATGTACACAGCGGCCAGCTCCAGTTTACAAGACTTTTCTCATGTACACATAACACCAGAAACCTTGGTCATTCCTTTCCTGACATATAACATCCAAAGTCTTCCCTTTGTTGTCTGTAATACATCCTTATCTGCGTCCATGGCCGCTTTTTCCCCATTTCTCTCACTTTCACTTTTGCTTTCAGAAACAATATCACTTATTGACCAGATTTTTAAAAAGCATACAAAGTATTTAAAACCTCGACTACTACTAATAGTATGTAATAAGTACCATTAAATATTTACATTGAAAAATATTTGGTAAGTGTTAAATTTTATAATTGCACCAATGTGTTATAATTGCACCATTACACTAATTGTAGTCCCAGCAGTATCCCACTGTATCTCAAATAAGAGCTCACCTCAAGGTAAAATAATTGCTTTAATACTTAATAATATTGCATATAATAGTTTTCATTTTTATACGGTAGTAATGATTTTAGCTGGCAGGATAATGTGCATTTAAAGAAGGACCTACATTGAGAATATTTTAAGTAACTAAATCTTAAGCTATTTCATTTTAGTTTAATAATGTTCCGCATACATTTTCAAAATTACAACTTTTTAACAAATAATGTTAAAATTGGCCCAGAATAATAACCATGATTAAATCATGTATATTTTAAGTAGCTGCATTCATATTAACTTGCCAACAATCAACAATGTAGAGGTAAAATAGATATTATTTTGCATGTGTGTGTGTGTGTGTGTGTGTGTGTGTGTGTGTGCTCCTGATAAACCCTATGTTACTGGGAAAAGTCCCAACAAAGATGGCAATATCCATAATCCTTGTTGGGACATTGTTGGTCCCCATGAGGAAAACTGCTTATAAATAATACAGAATGATGTTTTTTGAAAATGAAAAATTGTGATGGTAGGGTTAATGGATAGAATATACCGTTTGAACAGTATAAAAATAATTATGAACACAACGTGCGTGTGTGTGTGTGTGTGTGTGTGTGTGGGTTGACTAGGTAAAGCTGATGTGTTAGTGAGAAATTCCTCCAGATACCACAGAGATTTATGCCCGCTTTTCTGTCACGCTATTTGTATTATTTGAGAGTTTGACAATTCAATTGCACTTGATGACAGAGTGCATAATATTTCGTGAAAAACAGCATCAAGCCGTGCCTGACATACTTGCAACCTTTTAGAATGAATAGCGCGAATGTAAACATGCAAGCAGCATCGCCAAAATTAATTTGTACCATTAATGCCTCTGCTAGAACAGCCTTTCAAGATATATACTCTACATTTCCTGAATGTAGAGTATATACAGTATGTAGAGTACACACAAATGTTGTCTCAGACCAGAAAGCTTACATTTGGTTGTAAATCATTGCAGAAGGGAACAAAGGACAAGTTCACATGAAATCTTACTTTCAAGCTTACAGGATCCTCAAGCAGAAATAGAGGGCTACTGAATCAGTTTTGGATGAGGCAGATTTATGGGCAAGAATAGGATATTCAAATTGCTGTAATAACAAGACTAAAAAGGATAATATATTTTTTATAATAGTGGGCAATCTGTGTTCTCCTCCAAACCACTTAAGAAAGAATCAAGAAGTTTGCTAATTTGACACTGGATTTTTGGAGCCAACTTGAAAATCCTCTCTAGTCTCTAAAGGTCTGCCGGGCAGCTAGCCAAAAAAAAAAAACAAAAAAAAAAAACAGTGTTCTGCTGAGGTGATGGCAGTGAAGTGAGTGATATGGAGAAAAAAGACAGAGACAGAGGCGCAGAGCAACAAGAGTTCAATCAGCTCCTGGAGGAACCTTCAGAGAAACCTTTCATCATTGATAAAGAACTCCAATCCATTTACATTCTTTCATTTCCCCATTTCCAACAAAGATAGACACTACTCAAAACTACTTCAATATGTCATTACTATCAATAACACGATCTCAAGTTTCCACAAATATTAATACTGTAGCTGTAAAGAGCCAATCTGAAACTGGTACACACCAGATATAAAACAGCTTTTTGTAAATCTAGAACATTTACAATATTCTACATTCACAATTTGAAAGCCGAACTGTAAAAAAAAAAATGAGTCTCATTACACATTGGATGTGTTATGTATTTCAGTGCTAAATATTCCATCTGATGTGCAGAATGCTACAGACTTCCATTTCCACTAGCAAAACTAAATGTGTCAAGACAGCCTCATGTGCTTAATATTTAATTGCTGGCCAAAAGGGAATGGTTTGTGATATTGTTGGCAAGTCGGCAACACCAGCAGAAAATGGATTCTGGAGTAGTATCCTTGCTTTTCAGGAGAACATGTGGATGAAATTTAAACTGCTGGCCAGTAGGGTCAGTCAAGGCTGAGATGTACCTGAGGATACTACTGATGCTAAGGCTAATCATACTGGCTTTCATTAGACATGACAGATGGTGTGAGACTGTGGGCATATTGTAGGGGATTTTCTACTAATGAATTCTCAAATAATATGTGCAAATAGGTTGGACACACCCATATTTTAAGGAAGCTTTTGTGTATGACATCAACACCAAATGTTAGCCAAAGCCAATTATAGATCTCACCAAGTTCATTTAAATGTATTGATATTATATCAATTTACATTTATATATAGGTGTGAATCTTTGAATCAATTCACAAATCATAGGTTTCTGTCATTTCAGTTTAAAAATTGGTGTCTATCGATTTAATTTAATCGTTACACTGAACAAGATTCGATTCAGTGATGATTGAGCAATATTACACAGGAATGAGTGCAGTAACTGGATCAACAGCACGATTACACGAGTGAGTAAAAGCAACATGTTAATATTGAGTAACTTACATTTTAAGCCTTTTGAATTTACTTTTTTAATTTTGTTGAGATCAAAGTAGTCTCACTGCAGTGACCGTATGAATCATTTGAATGATTGATTCAATGACTCAGTCATAAAGACAGTCATTTGTCGCTTCCCACTGCTGTAACTGTGTCACCTGCAGAAACAGTCAGTAAAAAAAAGCTAATTAAAATAGAGGACCATAACTAAATGCGGTCTAGATCATATCAATGTCATCATACACTCCTCTGTGCACTACAGCCATTTATTTTACCCTTGGTCTTTTTTTCTCTTTCGTGCAGCACATGGGAGATCGAGAGAGAGGTTCATTTCCAGTCAAAGTGATACAGTAATTCACTATTTCATGAACAAATGTGAAAAAGGTAAGTTTGTTCAGAGTCAGACTTGACATGATGTGAAGATAATGTCTTATATGGTGCGCCGATTAAGAGCCAGAGATTGTTCTGTCCTTCTAACCAAACGCATTACATCTGGCTTGTTTTTCAGTCTACCTGATTAGAAAAGTCATTTGTAATCTGAACACTTTTTGTAAGGCACATGAAGAGCTTGTCGTACATTTTCAATGTGATAAGCATGTTAGTGGACAGACATCTTCAATAATGATCCTTGTGTATGAGACACTGTGAAAAGATATACAAAATAAGGCCAGCATCTGATCTAAAGCAACACTTATGCTAATATCCTAACTGCCGTTCAGTTTTTTTTCTTTTGTTGTTGTTGACTTTTTAATTTCACTTACATTATCTGGTTTCATAAAACATCTAGTGAAGATATTCAATATTTTTAAAATCATATTTTATTATTTTAGCTCAGCCAGTTCAAGGGAAAAACTGACCTAAAGAATCTGTTTAAATAAATTTGAAAGATTGAAACATCTATGTTGACAGTTAGATATGATACTCACCAATGTCCCAGGAACCAGGGCTGTTATTCTCAATCTCGCTGCGCCCGATTATGTACCAGACACAGGCCATCCAATGTGCCAGCAAGGCAAACATCGACATAAGTAATGTGAGTACAACTGCACTGTATTGGGAGTAGCGCTCCAGCTTTTGCAGCAAGCGTAGAAGCCGTAACAATCGAACAGTCTTCAGCAGATGAACTCCAAAGTACTAAACACACAGAGATGAAATGCACAAGCTCAAAAGAAAATTATAGTATTAATAATTACTTAAGATGACATGCCCAGCATCATATAAAATATGGTTTGTGTGTCCCACAAAGCTCTGTGTGAGGCCCATTAAAGGCACAGTATGTAGTTTTCGCTGATAAAAGTCACATATTCAAAACAATAACCAAGGCGTAGGCTAGCTTGATGACGCTGTGAAGGAGCGTGGAAAGATGGGAGTTGTCACCTTTACCTCCAATACAAATCAATCCGATGTGGAAATGACAAAATTCATAGGCGAACCAATGAGAAGAGATGCTACACTGGTTAAAATTGCAAATTTATCTGTATTTAAACATTTTTGGAATCATTTGGGATAACGCAAGTACACAAGTACATATACATATGTACGTATATATATATATATATATATATATATATATATATATATATATATATTGTGCCTTTAAACAGTTGGCTCAAAATGACATAAAAATAAGCTAAATTAACATACCACGCTGACATTGAAGGCATACAACAGGTCAAAAGGTAGCGCGGCAATCAGGTCCACGAAGAGCCAGGTTGTGACATAATGCACACAGATAGATCGTCCATCATACACCACCTGGCCAGATGTGCTCACAAATGTGGTGCGGAAGTTTAGCAAAATATCTGTCACAGGGAAAAAAAGAAAAAAAAAATGGAAGAAATTAATAAATGTATTATTAAAGCACAGAAAACTGCATTTTAATCATTACCTCGTTCAGTGACAGCTTATATAAATTTGTTCTGGGTAGTGACTATAAAAAATTGCAAAATTGCAGCACATACAGTAGCACTTAATTGAAGCTCAGTTTAGTAAATGGCTTTAGGCACTTCTTTGCAAATGTTTTGATGATACAAATAGTTTTTTTCTACATTATACAATTGTGTTTAATGGGCAGAAACAGATCCTGTCATTAAACACTAACTGCAATTAAGCAGTGCTAAAAAGCTTATCCACACACTGTGGATTTCTGATATAAAGGTGATGGCTGAAGATATGATGTTTTGTCTAATTGATTTGTATACGAGTATATCCTTAACCTGTATGGCAATAGCTACAGATAGGAATCTCAATTTACTCGAAAATGAATTTGAAAAAATCTTCTGAAGAGTTATTTTTGAACTATAAAACATATCTTTAGCATTTGTATTTGCTGAACAGTCCTTGAAAATCTTTTCAGTTTCTCGTGTTTTTAAGGCTTTATGGCATTTGCTTAGTAACATCTTGAACTTTTTACCAGAGAGTATTTGAAAGATGTCTGGCAGTATATTAGCTCTGTGATATAAAAGACTGTCTGCACAGCACAGAAACCTGAACAATAACAGAATCGTGTTACAACTCTGGGTACTTTATTAGCAAGCTATGGGATCAAACGGCATTTAATATCACCCAGACAACGTTACTGAGACAGAACTTTTTTGTGTGTGCTAAACTAATGACACTACAAAAACTAGAGCACTGAAGGTTGAGCCTTACCTAACATGAAAAGAATTTCCACAAGGATGTCGCTCACACTTGGTGGACTTCTAGGGGTCGATGACTCATCCCGTCCACCAACAACAGTGAAACAAACATTGTAGGGAACAGTAACTGCTACATAAAAGGTCGCTAGCAGGATCAGCCAATCCCAGCCAGCTTTGAAGGTGCCATAATGGAGAAGAATGAAACGGCTCTTTTGAATGGCTGCCACTTTGTACTCTGGGATGGGCGGCTTCTCGCCAAACATGTTCTAAATGAAGCAATGTTCAGACAGAAATGTTTAATGAACTTTTAACTTTTAGCAATATTTCTATAAACAGTATGCTGTGTGCTGCTCAGTCACAATGAATTAAATAATCCAATACTTTTGAGAAGACCAATGCTTTTGAGAGTAAACAACCCAAAAAGTAACACTGATGACTTTTTCTCATAAGTGAATATGAAATGTAAATATTGCACTGCTGAAGTTGTGCATGCGACCCCTAGGGTAGATCCAGGTTTATAGGAGAAGGCATTGTAACTGAGAGTTTAAGGACTTGCATTGTTGATCTTGAGTTTGCTTTTGTCTTGTTTCTGCAGGTGTCCAGACAGCTGGTAAAGCACAGCTCTACTGCGCCGCCGGTTGGCATTGAAGCCCGGTGGCCGCGTAACCTTGTGCACCTCCAACCCCGTCTCCACGTCTAAACAGAGAACAACCATATATCATTTTTATTGATTTCATTTCAGAATTTTTTGCTCAACACAAAATAACATCAGGGTATGCTAGAAAACAAAAAAAACAAAAAAAAAAAAAAAACATGTAGCTTTACTGCGGATCAGTGAAACATGAGCACCATTACTTAAAAACTGAAGTCATTTGAAAAGTCTACTTCTACCTCTATTTTTTTTAAAGCAGTTGTTCACCCAATTTGAACTACTTTCAAAAGGTCAGTATTTACAGTAATAAATATACTGCTGTAAATATACTACTTTATTTTATATTTTAAAGGTCCCTTGACAAGAAATTTTCACTCTCTGGGTTTTTAACGATAATCAACGCATTCTCACCCCAAGGCGTCACCTTTGACCATGCTTCAATATTTGACGTTTTAGGCGCCCTTTAGCGTCACTTACATGACGCGATCCTACGGCGTCATCTAACTGACGCTAAAGGAAAGCGTCAGTTAGAGGACGCGGTTAGGTTTAGGTGTGGGGTGGGGTTAGGGTACACGCGATCCTAGGGCGTCATCTAACTGACGCTAAAGGGCGCCTAAAGCGTCAGATATTGAAGCATGTCCAAATGCTTCCCAAGGCGTCAATTAAGTGACGCCTTGGGGGTGAGAATGGGCTGCAATAATATGAGTTCCCCTGGCCTGTATACCCTTGTGGAAAAAAAGTGCACTTAATTTCAAATGTATCATTAAGTTGAAAAAAAAATTTTAATAAGTTGCCATTAAGAGTGATTTTTTTTGGAACAACTTAAGTGGGATTTTTACACAACTTTACATCTACTTTCATAATTGCTTTTAGTGTATTTAAAATATAGTTAAAGTGCACTACAATATAATGACACACAATTAATGTGATTTAAAATATACTTGTTTGCATAGAGAGAGGGCAGAAACTGCATTGCAATGAAAAGATCTTTATTCTCGAGATCAACAGACTGTCATCTGCTTGCTCAGTGCTCATCACGGCAACATTTTATGTGATGGGAATAGATCTAAATACTTTAAAAACTTCTCACGATTCATTAATCTTGATAGCTGTAATAGTAAAAACGTATAATAGCTGCTGTAAAAGTATTCGAGAGAGTTTCACATGCAAGCATGTCAGCCAATCACAGCAGTGGCCAGTTACACTGAATCCCAGAGCAGACACGCCCCTTCAAATGCCTTTTATTTCTAAATTATGACTATGTTTGATTTAAAAAACATACTAACATTATAAGGGCAACCCAGGAAACATTATAAAATAATAAAATAACCACATGTCAGGGGACCTTTAAACAATTGCAAGTAAAAAGAACATTATTTATTTATATATATATATTTTTGAGACTTTTTTAATGTCTTAACTCTCATTTTTGATTAATTTATTCCCATGCTGAATAGAAGTATTAATTTCAGTAAAAAATCATATGGACCCCAAACTTTTGAACAGTGTCTGTTCTGTATTATTTGACAGAAAGACATTAGAGGAGATTTGAAGAGTTCAGATGCAAAAGCCTCTAAATGCCATTTGAAATTTTATTCTTTAATGATGATTTTTGTCAAACTTGTATATTTAAGTTCAATAATTTCACTTAAATAACAATTAATAGGTAATTATCATTGCCATTTAAGTGAAATTACTGAACTTAAATATACAAGCTTGATAAAAATCACCATTAAAGAAGAAAATTTCAAATGGCATTTAGAGGCTTTTGCATCTGAACTCTTCATTTGCTCTCTTCTCATGTGCAAACTAACATGTTCCCAGCAGCCAACCCTTGACTGAATAATTTATGGCTTTAATTTGGAGAGAACCATCTGTCAGTTTCTTATAACTAGATGTCTTACAAATCCCCCATTGTATTTTTTTTTTAGTTCTTTCCAAATCCTTTTTTTTTTTTTTTTTTTTTTTTTTTTTAAATATTAGTTAGCTTTTCCCCTTTATTATATAGGTTTTAATTACGGTTTTCTTAAGTGAGTCCAAAAATTCACTTTTAATGAGTTGACATCATTGACCGGATTTATTATTCCTAGTGCCAGTACAATATTCATCCATCAACCAAATGAACAGTAACCGTGCTTTGGCTCAAGCTCAGGCCACTAAAGGGAGCTTCAAACCTCTGTGCCAAGCTTTCCTACCGGCCCTCCCTGTGTCTTGTGTGTGTGTTTTCATCTCTCTCTCTCTTTATCAGTCTACTTCTCTCTCTCTCTCTCTCTCTCTCTCTCTCTCTCTCTCTCTCTCTCTCTCTCTCTCTCTCTCTCTGGGGAGGAGAAGTGTCAGGATTACTGTAACAGCGAGCACCACATGAGATGCTGCTGGCCTGTGTCGAAGCATCCACAACACATGATTCAGTAGCCAAGAAGTGAGAGGGAATGAGAAATAGAGCTTAGAATGAGCTCACTAAGTATGACACTGCAGCCCATTCTCACCCCCAAGGCGTCACTTAACTGACGCCTTGGGAAGCATTTGGACATGCTTCAATATCTGACGCTTTAGGCGCCCTTTAGCGTCCGTTCGATGACGCCCTAGGATCGCGTGTACCCTACCCCCACCCCAGACCTAAACCTAACCGCGTCCTCTGAATGACGCTTTCCTTTAGCGTCAGTTAGATGACGCCGTAGGATCGCGTCATGTAAGTGACGCTAAAGGGCGCCTAAAACGTCAAATATTGAAGCATGGTCAAAGGTGACGCCTTGGGGTGAGAATGCGTTGGACACTGACACGACCAGGTGTAAATATGCAAAATTATCCTGTAATACGCTTTGTAGAGCATCCCGTACAAGGCTAAAAGTGTTGCTGTCTGTATAAAAAGATAATTTGCCCTTTTGAAACCATACTCTCTTTGTTATATAGCACTATGCATCGGTACCTATACTTTTCCGCTCATTATGACTCTTGTTTTTATCTCTTTTCATCATTGTTTTCTATGTTCTACACAAAACAGTACAACTGTGTTTTAGTGCATTTAAAAAGGTTACCTTCATTAAGGTTGATAGACTGGATTAACAAGAATCAGTGTAGGCTATTGCTGTCTGGGTTCTTTAAACCACCAGTATATAGATGTTTACTTAAGAACTAGAGTATAAAATGTTGGGAAAATGTTGGGAAAAATAAATAATAATAATGGCTGATAAATTATATAAAGAATTGTATATATATTAATTGAGGGATTTCTCAAGTGAGGGTTGTGAGTGAGATGACAGCAACAACATCATATATATATATATATATATATATATATATATTAAATCACACACACACACACACACACACACACACACACACACACTATAATAGTACTGATAACAATAAATTAAAAATAACTTTAACATTGGCTGATTACTGATATTTTTTTTTTGTTGGTTTCAACTGAAACTTGTATTTATCCTGCTTGAAATCCCATCATAAAGGTAGCAACACTCACCTCTTTCTGGGCTCTGTTCTTCATCTTGGGATTTCTTGTTGTCTGTTATGTCCTTGTGTGATACTAGAAAGAGCACCACCTCTCCCTTCTCATTCTTAATGGGCACGATATCCAGAAGACACCAGAACTGAGTTCCTGCCACAACATAATATCTGCCATTAGAGTCAACATTAAATGTGAACATTCAATATTGACACGCAATAAGCAATTACTGAGCATATTTAGACCAGACTTCATGTTTAAAACGTACTATAGGTCTATAACTGGCTTAATAAGACCTTTTCTGCGTATTGCTTTTAGTCTAAATCAGAACTAGCTTGTTTTTCTTCTCAAATGGCTATACTACCATCAGCTCCCATGTGCTGCAACAACTAATCAATTAAATTTAGAAGTAAACAGTCAAGAATTAATTGGGTCTTTTATGTTCAGCATAGAGAATCTCCATCAGTGACGTCACATTGCAATAGTCAAAAAACCTTATTTCAATGAGCAAAAACAGAAAATGGTGGAGTTCACAATTGAGTCGCAGTGCAAAACATTCAACAATGCAGGTTTGAGAATACTCCATTTTATATTTTTTTTAATTCATTTTTTATTTATTGAGCATATAGATGTATATATGTATATGCATATAGCTTATATAAAACACCATTTTATTTTACTGTCAGGTATTTATGTAAACGGATGTTTAATGTGCTGCTTCTCTTCTCAAGTTTATTAGTCCTTTGACTGGTGAGCAGAACATGTCTGGAATGCTGAGATCAGAATTCACTGTTGTGTGTCTGTGTTTGTGTGCAGATATGTGTGCCTTCTGTAGGTTCAACGTTCTGCAGCTGCTCAACATTATGCCACAGCATCATTCCATGCCTCATTAAATCAAAACGGAGGGAAACGGAAAGAAAAAAGGTAGAACATGCTTGGCTGGAGACCCTATCGATACACAATTATGTGTGTGTGTGTGTGTGTGTGTGAATCACCAAACCCTATCATTAGGCACAGCTTAAGTCAAGAGAAGTAAATTTCAATAAAACAAGAATACATTTGATTGAACCAGCAGTCAGAGACCATAGACCATATAATACAATGAGCAATACCCTCAGAACAAAGCACTTAATAATGCCTAAAAATCACAACATGCCAACCTATGAATAGAGCTGACAATAGCTAAATACAATATATGAATGTGTGCCACATGCTGTGAACAGCTAAATAAACATTGATTAAACAGCTACTAGTTTCATAGTACAATGGATGCAAGGTTGTTATGATGATTATTGGCCTAAAGGGTCAGCAATCATTCTTAAACCTCACATAAGAGCTCTTTAATACACTAAAATAACCATTGTATCTCAAAGTAACTGCATTATTTATTGCTGTTTTTAGTTTACAAAATTAAAAAGTTTGTGCCTCGAGTTTGCTCAATCAAAACTCATTCAGTTTGTTCCATCAGGGGTGGTGATGGCAAAGTGGATAAGACAAATGCCTTTGGTGTGAGAGACAAGGGTTCGAATCCACTGCGAAACGCCAATGTGTCCCTGAGCAAGACACTTAACTCCTAGTTGCTCCAGAGGCGTGCGACCTCTGATATATATAGCAATTATAAGTCGCTTTGGATAAAAGCTTACATTAAACTTTTCTTAGTTTAATGTACTGGTGACCTGAGAACTGTAACCATTAACCAACTTTTGACTATTGACAAAAGAACTGCTACCATCACTGTACTGCTACTTTTTTATTTATTTATTTTTTTTACCACAAAATGATTAAAACGCTCAAGAATGCATTGATAAAACCACTGGATTAATAAAGGATTATTTTTATGCTGCTCTTATGTGTTTTTTAGTAGCCATCCACTTGCATTGTATGGATCTGCAGAGCTGTGGTATTTTTTACGTAAAAGTAAATATGAACTATCCCTGTAAGTTTGAATAGCATAGCATAGTTAAAACACTTAATATAATGGACATAAAGAAAAAAAAAAAAAACATTTGAAGAGTTCAGATGCAAAAGCCTCTAAATGCCATTTGAAATTTTCTTCTTTAATGATGATTTTTATCAAACTTGTATATTTAAGTTCAGTAATTTCACTTAAATAACAATTAATAGGTAATTATCATTGCCATTTAAGTGAAATCACTGAACTTAAATATACAAGCTTGATAAAAATTATCATTCTAGAAGAAAATTTCAAATGGCACTTAGAGGCTTTTGCATCCGAACTCTTCATTTACAAAGCAGTCCTTTAAATTCTGTCCCTAAGACATTTTAATTCTACCCAGTTATTTCAGCATTATAAAATAACTTCTTTTGAGTCTTCATTGTATGATCGTCTTTTTAATTTGGTGTATTTTATGTTTTATTTCAAAGAGATAATTGAATGTGCATTTGACAGTCTGTTGAGCTCTTCATCTCACTGACAGACTCTCAATGCAAAATGGCAGTTGTGCAACAGTGGGAATTTACAGCAGTCTTGCAACTAATGATCTTCTAATCTATTCCCTTTGAACCATGTACAATCTTAACCTGAACCTGCAGTCCATGAGAGGTGCGTGATATTTTGCGAGCACCACAGCAGAAGTCCTTTGACTCCGTGACAAAGTAACTGGAGGATTGTTGGGACTGATGTACAGAGGAAAGAGGAAGCATTCGGAAAACTGCACAGGACAGCAGTGGCTTGTTCAGACAATCCAAAAAGTAACCATTACTTTTACATTACATTACATTACATTTTACCATAACAACTGGATAGAAGAATACACAAATTGCCTATTTTCTTTGAAAAGGCAACAAACAGATACAAGGGCCCATTTTTAACGATCTGAAACGCAAGTATCAAAAGCGAAACGCAAGTAACTTTATGGCCGGATTTCTAAATGACTCTAGCACCCGACGCAAATCTAAAATGGGTTGGTCTGAAGTAGCTACATTACTCATAGGTGTGGTTTGGGCATAACGTGCAATAAACCAATCAGAGCGTCTTCTCACATTCCCTTTAAAAGCAGGAACGCTTGTTCCATGGCAGACTGCTATAATGGAGAATTTGCCAGGTACAACCACAAGCAAGCAGCGAATTCATTTTGAAATCTCAGTTTTCACTTCTTCATTTCAGACGGCATGTCATCCATGGCAATATGCATGTTTACTGCTTAAGCATTTTGGGTATTGACAACATGCTTGTTGCTATGGCTGAGGCGGGTACTGACAACATTCTCTTTTAGGTCATCCAGGTAGGGGCAACATACTTGCTTAAGGCTTTCCGGTATTGTTGGTAACATGCTGTTCCCCAAGTTTTCTTAGGTATTGGCCACATGTTTGTTGCCTTGGCACACTCAGGTATCTGCAAAAGCATCCAGAATTGCGCTGTCAGTTAGGTTCGGGGGATGTTGGCATATGGTTTTGTTTTGGGTGGTTATTGCTGCTCTCTGCTCTTATCCTTGCTAGGCTGCTTGCTAGGCTAAGCAGAACTGTATGCTAATTGTCAATCGTATTTGACTATAGTGGTCCTGACAGAACATGCGTCAGTGTACAAAGTCAATTGTGCGGGGTGCAAGATATAGGGCCCACAGAGTATCTCTTACAAACCAGTCAAATGAATGAATCGAACTCAACACTGCTCCAAAAGTGTGCGCTCTGAATTTGGGCACTGAATTAGGAGCAAATTTCCCCTGATGCATGTTGCACAAATGCTAAATTAAAGTGAATCAGGTGAGAAATCGGTTGTTAATGCTGCTGTGTTTGGAAAATCTTTTGCGAAAAATGTCTGGCAGATTCTGCCTAACTGTTCTGGTGTCTGATGGGGTTTGACAGAGATCTACGCTGTATGTTCACAGAAATTCACAGTGGTCTCCTGGTACACGGATGGAATCGTGTTCTCTTAACTGCAGGTGGGTAAAAACGTGGATGGAATTAACTACATGACACGCTGCACACTTTCTGTGAATCACATTCAACATGAAAGAAATCAAGCCATCAGAAATCATTGTCATTTCTGAGCCACTGTTTATCCAAGGCTGGTTTAAAGGCATATTGTGTTCTTTTCAGGGAAATCGGTGAGGGAGAGAAAAGACAGCTGTCGAATTATGATGTTATCATAATCTATGCTCAGATGCTCCAGACACAAGCTGAAGAACAAGGCAGGCATTTAAAGTCAATTTGCTCAAATAAATGGATTGTCTGGACTGAAAAGGTATTTGTTTGGTCATCTACTGTGAAGGGTTAGCTCAAGATTACTCCTAAAGTGAGCCGTGGTAAATGTGTTTCCTTTCAGATCAATTGATTTTAAAATCAAGATTGCATTTATTCAATTTGTACATACATTTTATTATCCATAAACATGCCAAGCACTGCCAATTCATAATCAAAAAGTCTAAATGTTGATCAATGAGTTAGGGATCATGTACAGTACATACTCACATCATCTTACTTATAACACTGCCACTTAACTAAATGCACATAAAATATCGATTTGAGGTGAAATTTAGTTTTTAGTACACAATCTAACACAGGTATGTTGGAAATAATTTTCATTACAGTCAATTATAAAAGATTTAACAGCAGAATCGGCCAATTCAGCAAACTATTCCAGAGAGCCAGATAGTAAATAAAATCCTATGTTTCAAAATCTAAAGAAAATACTGGGTTGATTAAATTGAAATTATCTTATTCAGTAATCAGTACACAGTTTGCTTCTGTTCTTATATTTTAAATCCTTCCATCACCCCTTTGTGTGAATTAATTTCTTTCTTGTCTGCAGCTATGCCTGCTGTATCACTCTAATCAGGTCAGCATATACAACATTTATTTGTGATTAATTGATTTTAGGGTTTGGCTTGATTTGGTGTCCTCATCCACAGTGGACCTGTAGTAATTTAATTGCTGTATGGCAACCTTCTTAATGAACCCCTTTCCCTTTCTGAACTCAATAATAACAATAATTGATAATTAAATAATTGATAATATAAATTATTAATTACTATATTGTACAATTATAAACAACTAAATTAACTGTGAGAAATTGGGATGGACTAATACTAATTTTGCATAATATGGGAATTGGGATGAAGTCCTGGTCACTTTCTTTTGGTGTTGGAGACAAAGGTATAGATCACACTTTATATTAGGTGTCCTTATATACTATGTGCATACAGCAAAACATAAGTACAATATACTTTTGCTGCTATTGAGGTGGGATACTTGTAAGGTTATGGACAGGTTTGGTGGTATGGGTAGGGTTTAGGTGCAATGGGAAGATCTACAGTGTAATTACAGCTGCAATTACATACAGGTATTTTTACAATGTAAAAACATGTATGTCTACAATAAGTGCATTGTATCAAATGATTAATTTAAACATTAGTACATAGAAAAGACACCTAACATGAAGTGGGACCAAGGCATGTAGTTAACTACGTGACTCCTACCTCCTTTCTTGTAGAAGACCAGTTCCGTCTTAAACTCCCGCCTTTCGTCCAGTGCGCTCTGCATCTGTGCCATCAGCTTATCACTGGTCTCTGGCCCGTACAGAAAATGACACGCACAGCTCTTCTGCATCAGTTCCGCTCGGGCATAGCCAGTGAGTTCACAGAAGCCATCAGAACAGTACACGATGGGATATAGAGACTGGACCTGTGCATTCCCCAGCACAAAGTTACTGTCTGTGAGGGAAAAACAACAAAGAAAAAAAAACGATGAAGGTCTGCTCATTAGAAATTCAACAAAGTTCTTTGAGTTTCAACACTCAAAAGTGTTAATATGCAGTGTTAGAAAAATAATGTGAGTTAACAGAAATCCCTTGTGCTAGCGATTTTAACAGAGCTCTGTTATCGCACTCATCCCAGACTGACTGGGGGGCTAAATTTACACATCTTCTCAACAATGCTTTAAAGGCACCTTTAAACATTTTCCATAAGCCTACAGGGAATCTGTTTTGACTGCTGCTATCAGACAGTGCAAGGCTTCCTTATCCTGCACCTCCTCTTGCTCAACACAGTAGTAGTTATGATGATCACATGTTTATCTAATTCTTAAGAGTGGTAACGGTAGATATCACTTGACTTTAATGGAGGGGTTTAAGCTTGAGATTTGACTACAGCTCTGTGTTCCCCCTTGGACTATTTGACAGATGCCTGAATGTACGTGACAGGAGTGAGGTAAGCAGCCATTTACACTATATATATAGTGTATATATGCTGCTGTTATAAGCTACTCTTAAACTTTCGCTTACTCATTCAAAACATTGTTTTGCATTATATATTATATCTGTATTGCTCTGAATATTGTATATGAAATATAGAGCAAATGGTATACTAAACATTTTCTCAGAACTAACCTCAACCAGAAAGTGTCCAAATACATTAATTTTTAGAATATTTTTGAGAGCCACTGTTGCTATAAATAAAAATCAGTATGCCCAAGCATATATATATATATATATATTTTTTTTTTGCTTTTTAATATAATCAGAGTTGTATATTTACATTTGTTTGAATATTTATAGAACTAGTTTGCATAACTGCTTTTTATAACAATTTCCTATATTTAATGAAATTCCATTCATCATCCTTCTTTATTTTATTTGATTTACAGGCTACATGCAGTGCTAAGCAGAACCAAAGTAACACTATTCAGTTCAGGAAGTGTGAATGATAAACAAGACCAAACGCTGAATCTAAAGCCCAGTATTATTCCACACAATTTCCTTATAAACCCAGTGCAAGCACAAACATGCACTACTTTAGACTAAATGTATTCAGAAGCAGGGCCTTTTATCACCAAAAAAGAGAAAAGAAAGATGAAAAATTGAGAGAATTTGCATGAAAAAAGATAAATGTGCTGCCTTATATTATCAGCAGTCATTAAATCCTCCCTTAGAGCTAAGAAGTCATAATTATATTCTGATCAATCGATTATTTATTGCTTCACGTCGAGGTGCAAATATTGATCCATGGGCTGGTGGGCACCCCTCTCCCTCTCTCAATGTGTTTAATATTTCAACGAGTTGTGACTGGGAGAAGATTTAAATATGGAATTTAAAATGGAGCAGTGAGCTGCGGGATCATTTCCGAGGTATAATAAAGTGAAAGGAAGAGGAGTGAAAAGCTACCAAGCACATTAAGACAACAGCACAAAGAAGTCAGCAGAACAGCTTTCGAGAAAGACAGCCAGGATGCTAAGAAAAGTGATGTAATATTTTATTAATTCACTACACTAATTACTCGATTCTGATTGGTCAATAGCACTATCCAGCAGTCTTATATTTCATCAGAAATTACAGTGCATTAGTTTACTCTTCCAGGTAAATGAAACTGCAACTACTGTCTCCAGTACTGTCCGCTCTTACGTCTCACTAAGTGAAAATAAGCTTTGAGGATTTTAGTATATATGAAGAGTTCAGATGCAAAAGCCTCTAAATGCCATTTGAAATTTTCTTCTTTAATGATGATTTTTATCAAACTTGTGTATTTAAGTTCAGTAATTTCACTTAAATGGCAATGATAATTACCTATTAATTGTTATTTAAGTGAAATTACTGAACATAAATATACAAGTTTGATAAAAATCATCATTAAAGAAGAAAATTTCAAATGGCATTTAGAGGCTTTTGCATCTGAACTCTTCATATATATATATATATATATATATATATATCGAGTCTGTTTTCCAAAGATGGATGCTGCCTGTATACATGAAGTGAACTGTCTTGATAAAGTATCTTTTTATTAAACGGTCTATATGCTGAAGATTGGTATTTGGTATTGGTAAATTTTGCTGAAGACAAAGTTCTCAATGTTTCGTTTTGCATGTATGGAGCCTCATTATGTTACCGTGTCAGTGTGGGGCTATTTTGAGCCTTGTTGGTGGTATTAACTAGTGATTTTTCATTTTTCATTACTCTGTGCCCTATATACTAGCGTTATACCCAACGCATTCTCACCCCAAGGCGTCACCTTTGACCATGCTTCAATATTTGACGTTTTAGGCGCCCTTTAGCGTCACTTACATGACGCGATCCTATGGCGTCATCTAACTGACGCTAAAGGAAAGCGTCTGTTAGAGGACGCGGTTAGGTTTAGGTGTGGGGTGGGGGTAGGGTACACGCGATCCTAGGGCGTCATCTAACTGACGCTAAAGGGCGCCTAAAGCGTCAGATATTGAAGCATGTCCAAATGCTTCCCAAGGCGTCAGTTAGGTGACGCCTTGGGAGTGAGAATGGGCTGTTATACCCTAAACAGTTTTTAGAGCTAAAACTCACATACGATTATCATGAAAACACATCTCAGAGAGCAGTTGACTGGTTACCAATGTTAGACCAAAGGTTCATTTTGAGTTCTCCTTTAATAGTAGTTACTAGAATATTCCATTACTCATTTGTTGTTGTTATTTATGACTGAGGGAATGGTATTCTACCATTTTTGTGATATGTTGTGTACATGAGCAGTGTCACGTCTGCGTTGTTGAATTCACATACATGTGCATGTCTCATGTTTTCTCTGCTAAACCCCATCTTTTCTGGCTAGAACTTCCTGTTTATTCTCATTACTCTGTAATGAAGTGAATCGCACTAACAAGAGCTTCCATATGAGTTTTATTATATGTACTTGCTGTTGCTGTGATGAAACATTACCGATGTAGATAAAAGCTGAGGGTGATTAATGCAGGACCTCAGAGGAGGACAAAACACTTTCAAGAGAGGCTTGCAAATCTCTCTGCGGTTGAATAGATAGATCTATGACACCACTGATGGGAGAATAAACACTAGAAATCTTTTTTTCAAGACAATCTAAAGATGTTTATTGTCAAATTTCAGATTTAATTGTTGCCGACATGAAACTACATTAATCCACCACCTCTCTCTCTTGTTGACACATTACTCAAGTAATGGAAAAGAGGCTTGAATTAAAGTTGACAATACTTCTGATCAAGTAACGTTTGTCTTTATTCTTCTAGTTATTTTCTTTCCTATTTATCTCTTTAATGAGTTAACTTGATGAACCACTAATCTGAGCTCTGAATTGCACACAACTTTTTTAATTATCTAACATTTCAAACACTGCACACTCGCATGGTTGTAAAGCACTAATGTTTGTTATTTTATGGCTTGTCAAGCTTTATTGCCAAAGTTTATTGTTTAATGAGTTTGTTTTACAAATTAAAAAATATAATGGTTGCATAATGTATGATAGTTCACTTGTTTTTATTGCTTAATCAGCAGTGCCTCATGCAAAAAAAAAAAAAAGAAGAAAAAAAAGAAAAGAAAAATCATGTGAGATTTATTTGTTTCTTCTTGTTTCTTCTAGGCAGAAATAAGATCAAGTGGTCTGCAAATGAAGACATTTTTTTTATGATTCACTTGTAGTCCAAAATCAGAGCTTTAAATACAGACTCAAATATTTCTCATGTCCACAGGCCAACAAGTATTTTGTACTGTAACATGTTTAGCTCAGTTAGATATATATAGTATAACATAAAAATATACTTAACACTTCAACAGTTGTAAGCAGGCCCCTGAGGTTGAAAATGCTAATATTTTTGTAAATTTGTTTCTATTTTTCTAACTTCACATACAACCTTGTTTCTCAGCACACACACATTCCTCTTACAGGCACAAAGTTGCAGTAACAGAAACATTGCAGTTATTCCCATAAACAAAAGAATAAAAGTAAAGCTGACAAATATAACAAGCTAGTTGCTCATTACAGAAGCATTAGCATAACAGCTAGCAGATACTGCTGTTTGCTCTGTATGGTTTCACATTGACTGCTTTTTAATGACTTTATCTCTGCTAGTTTGCCCATGGCTTTTCTCCCTCGTAGACTTTATTAATTGTACAAAATGTATTCAATTCCCAATAAATTTTAGACGAAAAGCTTTACTTTGTCAACATGACTCAAAAGCTAATCCACTGTCTATTAAACTGATGATTTGCATACTTTGCTCTTTGCACTTGGCCTGGGGGCTATGCTTAGGCATCAAGTAAGTTTAAAAAAAAAAATGTTATTTCAGGTCATAAAAAAAGATTATATACATTTTTTTTTTTACTTTTGAATAGCCAAGTAGACTGGGGAGTCCTATACCCTAACATGATGAAAGCTGCAATAATCTCTATGACAGGTCGCAAAAACAGCAAGAAAAAGTACTGCAGAGCATCGAACTTAACTTAATTTACCTTATTTGTCCATTTGATATTATGTAAAGTGACTTACAGTAAATTCAAGGTTTACATTTTTGCCAATTATGCATGTTACTGTATGAGTGAACATATTCTTCTTCAGAAATATGCTCCCATAACATCAGGGGTTAAGGGGAAATATAAAACGTTTTGATATTTATCCTTTAACAGACACTTCATTTAAATACTCAAGATCAATAGTGTTTAAAGGGAATAAGACATTTTAAAACAAATTTAGTTTTAGGTGAAAACTCATGTAGTTGTCATCACTAAAGACACTTAAAATTTTATCTCTAACTGACATCTGCGCTTTTGTGTCTATGATAATATAATAAGAGAGGGTGTAAAATTCTTGAAAAACCCTTGAAATAAAATGCAGCCTAACTGATATTAAGCTGGTATGAAGCCTCAATTTATGATCTATGGGGAGAAGTGATGAAAGAAGTCTTTGATAAAAATTATTGTCTGATACTGTGCTTTTGTAAA